TTCCATAAGTATGATAATTAGCAAAAAAGAATATCTAGCCGATTCATTACCGTATATGTGCTTGATGCTCCTCCTACAGTACTCTTTACTCCAGCTTCGCCATATTGATCATACAAAGCCCTCTTTTTATCGTCTGATAGCACCTGACATTGTTGTACTTCAGTAATCAAAAGATAAAAAGATGAATGTGAAAAAGGGAATAAAATAGAATTTACAAGTCCAAGCAGATTGTTCTTCAGAAAATGCCATGCCAATGGTGAATTAAAAAAGAAAGCATTCGTACAAGTAGTTAATATTTCATAGGTTAATTCTACATGTCAATGTGAGTTGACCAAGCACAGGCAAGAGTAGAAAAACAGATAGAGGATAGCCTGCAACTGAAATATTAGCTAACCACAATTTTCAATAACTTCATATTCATATTCACCAAGTAATGTTGATATTTAAATTTGTATTTTTGACATCTGCAATGGAAACACATTATGTCAAAAGGTAATAATGCATTACCAAAGCTTTATTCTTGCAACGTAATATCCTCTGCACATATCAACTTCAGTTTCCTTTTCTCTTAGCATTTAAAAACTAATATCAGATCAACATAAACATTTGAAAAAAGAGGAAAAGAAAAAAGAGTTGAAGGACATGATTGATGCAGAAGTTGAAGACTAAGCTGTTAAGAATAGTTTGATGTGTATTCTATTGAATAATACAAGCCTATATATACAAGTTTTCCAACACAGAAAAGAAAATAAACAATTAACATAGGATGTAATTCATTCTTATACCCTTCAACATAATGTACCATTTTTTTTAACATCCCTCAAACTAGAGAATATATGTTGTCCATCTCCAACTTGCCAATAAAAGCCTGAAAGTTGGATTGCTTAAGTTTTTAGTCAATACATCTACTAACTAAGAATTGATAAGCATGTATAAGGTACATATTAGGCCACTATCAAGTTTTTTATTGATAAAATGTCTATTGACCTCAATATATTTGGTCCGATCATGTTGCGTCGAATTATGTGCAATGTTTATAGCTGATTTGTTGCTACGGTATAGGCGCATGGGATTATACTACTTGACTTTAAGATCTTCCAAAATCATTTTGTATCCATACCAGTTTACATACCCCTTATGTTATTACTCGGAATTCTGATTCTGCACTTTATTTCGCAACTGTATTTTACTTTTTACTTCTCTAGATAATTAGGTTGCCCCCAAAGGAGGTACAATATAATGTGGTAGACCTTTTATTTACAATTAACCTTGCATAATTTACATCACTGTAGCCTTCTAATAGCAACTTATCACTTTTCATAAACATTTTTTTTTTAGGTGACCTTTTTAGGTAATAAAGCATTTTGTACGCTGTTTATAGGTGTACTTCTTCTAGACTATACGTGAATTGATTTATAACACTCACTGTGCAAGCAATGTCTAGTTCTATTTGGGATAGGTATATCAATTTTCCAACTAATTTTTGATATATTTCTTTATTTATGGGTATATTGTCTTATGCTATCCCCAATTTGTGATTAGCATCAATAAGAGCACTAGCTAGGTTGCATGCTAACTTGTTTGAATCCCGAAACAGATCATGAATTTATTTCTACTGAGAAATAAGAACGTAGGATTCTGTGCGGGCGATTTCAATTCCAAGAAAATACTTCAACTTACCAAATTCCTTGATCACAAATTCTTTTATAAGATATTATTTTAGTATCAGTTTTTCTTTGTCATCATGTCCTATTACGACAATTTTTTTTTTGAAATAAAAGAGTGAAGTTGTATTGATGTAAAGGTGTCAAAGGGGCACCACTCATGTAGAAAATTTAGGTATCAAATCGTATTACGACAATGTCATCAACATATACTAGAAGAGCTGTAACTCCCCCTCTTTCTGAGTGTTTAATGAGCATAGTATGGTTTTCTTGAGATTGCTTAAACCCCAGATGTATGACCACATTTACGAACCTACCAAACAATGCTCTTAGCAATTGCTCAAATCCATACAAAACCTTCTTTAGTTTACAAACTTTATCTGGTCCTGCTCCCCTATCAAAGTCAGGTGGAATATTTACATAGATTTTTTATTCTAAATCTCCATGCGAAAAGACATTTTTACATCACATTGTTGTAATTGTCAATTAAAATGAGTAACTAATAACAACAAGATTCGCATAGTGTTCAGATTGACTATTAGAAAAAATTTCTCCAAGTAATCTATTTCATATATTTGTGTATAGTTTTCTGCCACCAATCTTAGTTTATATCTCCCAATTGTCTCATTTACCTTATATTTGATTGTAAAGATTCATTTGTACCCCACCAATTTCTTGCCTTTGAGTGGATCCATTATTTCTCATGTCTAATTTTTTCAAGTACCAGTATTTCCACATTCCTACATTTTTCCATTTTTCACAAACTAATGCCTCATATTAGGAATATGCTAGTATTAAAATTTGTGAGAAAATTTTTATGGGATGGTGACCACTTTTTTATTTTTTTTAAATATAAGTGTAGAAATGTATTAATGTGTTAGTGCCAAGAGGGCCTGACCCATGTACAAAAGATTTACAAGTTAATAAGCATATCTACAATAAAACCAAAATCAGCCAAGTTATCAAGGTTGTCATAAAACTATAGAACCAAAATAGTGAAGTTATCTATCCTTGATATTGACAAAATTATCTTCTTTCTCTTCAAAAATTCTATTGTTTCTTTCTTTCCGTATGACCCAGAAAATAGTAAGAGGGATAAGTCTGTAATGTTTGTTTTTCCTATACAATTTTTCTTACACCAATAATTCTTTTTTGACAGACCCAGACATAACCCAACAGATACCCAAATGTCCATAGACCAGTGTCCAAAGATTGTACGTAACAGGGCACCATAGCAATAAGTGATTGGTGGACTCTACATCATTTTTGCACAGGAAGTATTTGTTGGTCAATGTTAATCCTCTTCTCATGATATTATCTATAATTAAAATGCGTTCTTTAGCGACTTCCTAGGCGAAGAAGAAAATTCTAAAAGGTGTGTTTGTCTTCCAAATTATTTTTTAGGGGAAATCCATATTGTCTAATCATTTGTCCCTATAGATGGTTATAGAAGATTTAGCAGAGAAAATGTCTTTTTTT